AACCTGCTAAACTTCACCAGCGGCTTTCACGATCCAAAATTGTAAGAAAAGTTTCAATGAACATGAGTCGAATAATGTCTTCTAAGGGAGCTACGGCCTCCTGAAAGGAAGCTCCTGGAGATGATATTTCTTTGATATTTCCAAAACGTCATGTGATAATGATGAAATTTAATACAAAATTAATCATGAATTTCATTCATAATACAGAGTGGGACTACAATACATATTGCTCAAACTCTGTAGTATGGATATATTTGGTTAATTTGATGTCGGATTATGAAAATCCACATCTATTCAAAGAAAAAAGGTACTATTGTTTTGTATCGATCAGATGTTTCATTTTCGAGAAAACTCGATCTGAAAATATTGTGTCATCTCACATATTATGTATAAACATGGCAAAAAATCGTAGTGGATTTCCGAAAAAACAGATGAAGTAGTTCTTCAACATCATTCTAATATTTTACGCGCCCCTATGGAATTGTTTAGTGAAAAAAAAATGGGGATTTTTTTTAAAGCCATTATGACATTATGACAAAATTATTGGCAACGTTATGCATAATATATGTGACTTGTAACAATATTTTTGAATCGACTTCACTCGAAAATGATACATCTGATTGATACGGAACAAGAGCAACTTCTTTCTGTGAAAAAGTGTGGATTTTCATAATCCGGGATTAAATTGTCGAATAATGCGCATACAAAAAAGTTTGAGCAATATTTAATGTAGTGTCACCCTGAATTATACATAAGCCTGAATGAAATTTTGGAATAATGCCATTCAAATTGCATTATGGGCAATTGGGGTTGGGAAGTTAAGTTATTGTGTATTTCATCACATGGGGTTACGACAAAATTCAAGAAAAATCATCTTCAGGATCCCAATCAGAAGACATTCTTCGACTCATGTTCATTTCAACTTTTCTTCCTATTTTGGTCGTAGAAGCTGCTGATGAAGTTTGGCAGGCTGATTTCTGGACAACTTGTTTATTAGGTTCGTCGAAATCTCACCCATACTAGATCATTTTGTACCTATAATAGTAGATTATGCTACAATATTTCCTTGAATTGTAAGAGCTGACAACACAGGAAAAAAGATTCTGACGTCAGAACTGGAAAGACGAGTTGGCTGTATATGGCTATGTATATGATTGTTCCATGAAACTGATGTGTATATATTATTAGTATAAAACCATACATACTATATTTCAGTACACAAGCGCATTTGAATAGAATTCGCACTTTTGTGTTTTTGCCTATTTGGAGAAATACATACAGTGGACATTTTTTCGATTTCATAAAAAGAATCATCACTCAAATACCTTTTAATTTCATATTTTTTAAAATGTTTCGGTCGATTTTCAGGTGCTGAAATCATAATGCCACGCTGCCACGGTAATCTTCAAACGGCTAGAAATTCACCGCCAGTAAGAACTGACGCAACGATGTCGTAAGTAAGGCAGACCATATAGCACAGTTGCTATGTGTTGAAATACGATAGGAAACTTCCGAAACATTAGCTATTCAATAATTCAATAATTCTCAATTGAGTATTGATAATATTCCTAATTAGCAATAAAAATTCAATTTTCTCAATATGTTCCCTTGTGATTTGTGGCGTATTGCTTATAATAAATTCGTGTAAATGATGATCATATTATTTCACACTAGAGGAAATTAGAATCGGTGAACGTGACAACCCCGCGCACGACTTGTGGGCGTGGTCTTGTCAGTTCACCTCATTCAGCACAATGTTGCCAAGTCTCCAACATTCACATGATATTTCGTTATGGAGGATGAGAAATATTTGGACATGATGGTTGCTGGAACAAGTCAAGAATGCACTATAATGTCATGAGTTCCTCCTATTATGTTTTATTGAACGACATGACTCAAACATATTTTGGTAACTTGATTATAATTGGTGACTTGACAACCTTGCTGCATGGGTGGAAATGGAAGATTTTCTGGCCAATAAAGAAACAGCATGAAAACTGACATCACCATCAATTCGACGTATCGCTAAATGGCGGCCATTACGTTTGAAATAAGCTCTGGAATTCAACGATTTTGAACAACGGATAGACTTATTAATTACATCACTCGTGAGAAGTGTTGCAAAAATCAATTAAGGTTCCTAAGGACACAGTGGAGAAATTAAATGCCAATAATTCATTGTCAGTCTACTCGCCCATTCATCATTGCAAACGTTGGAGATTTAGTCAACCATTTATCTATGTATACCGAAGGTATTTCCTCAAATTTCACGAAATATCTCTGAATCAAAGAAACTCTCAATAAACTATTATGAGCTCATATAGTCATATATTCGAGTTTAGAATCATTTTGCATATGGTAAAATAAATAGCTGATTAATAGGTATTATGAGCAGATCTGAAACACGTCGAACAGTATGCTGGTTGCCCTTCACATTCTTGACAATAAGTTTTGACTTTTTTTACTTTATTGTCGGCTTCTCTCCTGCTCATAGCTTTCCTCAAAAGGCGATAGCAACCAACGCAATTCCTGCGTTTGCCAACTGGAACCAAAGTGTGAACCACCGTCGATGATGGTCCATGGAAACCTGGAATTCACATTTGATTATCCAAATATTTTGCATCCTGGTGATGAAATTGAAATATCGATTCGAAGATTCATCTAGGGCCAAAGAAGTTCGAATGGGAGAAATAAATTCTGTAGTCGCAAATGTTTGTACACAAATACTACACGGAAAAAAAGGAATTGTTGAATCAAGCAAAATTTAATTGAATGAAGCAAATAAAAGTGTCATATATGCACGACAAAATATGATCTTGAAATGACTAAATCTTTATCTCGTTTCAGAGCGAATTTGAAGTTTGAATTGAGTAGATATGTCTTGAATGAACTCTGGATCTTCTTTGATCAAGCACATCCATGAATTGTTCATGAAAAGATATTGAATTGGCTCAAACAATCATCTTGTTTGATTCATATAGCAGTCTTTACTTCCGTTCAGCTGATGCAAAACTATTTCGGATTGATGATCATCCTAAGTTCGATTTATACAGCTGATATTTCAAAGACGAAGAATCCGGCCTCACGTATATGATGAATTCGAGGCATGCATAGACGAGGCGAAATCACCGCCATCTAGAGGCGAAAATTTAACTTGGTGTAGAATGAACAAAATATCTCATTGATATTATATATTTCGTTGCTCAATTCAAGCAAATAATCCGTTCGAAACGAGTTAATTGCTACATCGGAATAAGAAAACTTGTTTGTTGTTTCAAAGATATATTCTCATCAAAATGATCATTATTTCATCAAATCAACAAAATGCTTATATTTGAATCAACATCGACATTATTTTGGATCGACATAATTTGTTCTTGAGAGAACCATATATTTTGTTGATGGAATTGATATTATACTGTTGATTCGATTAGACTACATTCTTGATTTGAGCAAGCTGCTTCCATGGAATAATCATGTATATGGTTGATTCAACAAAAAATTGCTCAGTCCAACAAAAATAATTCAAGCATAAATAATTGATTGATGCAACCAATCCTTTTTTTTTCGTGTATAAACCCTGACCCGTATTGGATGAGCATGTGGGGTAAAAGATCATTTCTTCAAGTACCTTATTTCCTGAATTATTCAAAAATGTCGGTCCCGGAGGAAAAGTACAGATATACAAAATTAATCTATAATAATATTATGAAGAGGAAAGATTTTATTGTTCGTTTGTGTGTTTGCTTGCTTGTTTGTTTGTGTGTTCGTTTGTTTGTTTGTTTATCTGTTTGTTTGTTTGTTTGTTTGTTTGTTTGTTTGTTTGTTTGTTTGTTTGTTTGTTTGTTTGTTTGTTTGTTTGTTTTACGGCAGGAATATGCTTTTTCGGCATCCGTTCAGGTAATGCTCACTTCCCAGACGCTTTTTCTTTGGGGAAGTAGTATTTTTCCTGTCCTGGAATACTGTTGCCATATTTGGAGTGCAGCACCCAAACATACCCTGAAACTGTTGGAGTCTCTCCAAAAAAGAGCAATTCGTCTCATGGATGATGCCTCTCTCACAAACTCACTCACTTCTCTGGAACACCGTAGAAAAGTTGGCGATCTGTTTCTATTTTATAAATATTTTCATGGATTAATCCGTCGAGTTGCAGCCTCGCAACCCTTCGTGGTCACTTAGGAGACCTGCGGAACATGTTCTTCAAAAACTCGTTCATCCAATAAACAGCTAGGCTCTGGAACACATTGCCAAGGAAGGTGTTTCCCGAGGCATATGACCTCCAGAAATTCAAGAAGAACATCAAATCCTACCCTATTTCCCTTGGTTCTCACGGTGTTCTCTGAACATTACAGGATATATTCCTTTTCGTGGGAACCAGAACATAAGAAAAATATACCTGTGGTTTCCAAATCAATCGTTCCACACCCCAAGTTTGATAGTTTGATGGAATCGATTCATCGGGAGGAATCATAAAAATACCAAAATACACAGGTTTTCCCATTATTCATTTTGAATTTGATATCAAGTAAACAAAAACAAAGAGATCATTGTATAACATGATATTGAACAGCTGCGCACGAATTGCTTCAATTCACCATGAGTATAAGCTCACTCTAGTCGAATTAATAATCAATCATTCTACAACAAGCATGAATATGGAAGAGTTATGAAACTATTGCTCTACTTGAATAAATAGATAAGAGACGGAAGCAACATTTTGTGGATCAGGTTACCTGGCCCAAATTAACATGCTCATGGTAATCACAAGGCAATGACTATGACAGTTGACATGACAATTACATGACGTTGACTAGAAAAAATTACCGATGATTGACAAAATGCCAGATAACAATAAAACTATAATCGCAGGAGACGAAAAACAAAAAGAGTCATAAAATATTTTTATTCCTTTAGACATCATCGTTAATTTAAGTGCTTTCATTGCTTCCACACAAACTGTTCGCTCATGACTCATGATGTAGGTTATGATATTGCACAAATCGAATGGAAAAATAACAAGTATCCTATACTATCAAACCTTAATATAATGTGTTGATAGTACAATTAGTACAGGGTTCGTCAATGAACGTCGTCGTTTTCACCTATATCCTGACAAAAAGAAATCGCAGACCGTTAGGATAAATATTGCTATAGTTTCAACATATATCAAGACATAACAGAAAAGATCATATATATCTATATATTCATTCCCTTTCTTCTTCCTTGAAACCTGCTGCATCCGATATTGAAGCTATTTCAACAGTAGCCTCATCATTTTCAGCAATATTCTGGAAAGTTTGGAATGAAAAGGATCAAATGAACCCACAGTTTGATTATAACTCACGTTATGACTATTCAGATTATCTTCCTCACTGGCATTTGTGATTTCTTTGGTTGTATCTTCCTCAGCATTATCATAGTTGATTTCTTTCGATCTCTGTTTTCCTTTTCTACTCTGAAAAATCAAAATGATAGACATTTCGAGGAGCCACCAAATACCTATGTATAGAAGTGTGGTATTTCAAGAGATAGCTGATGGATTGTTTGTGTAATTATTTATCTCAATTTTTCATGTGATGTCTTTGAAATTTTACAAATGTTGAATTTGAGACTGGATTTTTATTCATGACTATATAGTGTGTTCCCTGCTTTTTGTTTGCTTTCAGTATTCAAGAATTATCTTTGCTGGTGAGTGCTCAAAAATGCTGGGGTGGAAATGAGTCATATCAATATTCCCATATTTTTTCGAGTTAGCTATTAGATCTTGTCAATTCTACATCAACTCACTGTATTTTTAGTTATAATTTGTTGATAGACTCACAAGTACTATTACCTAACATTGCAATTGCAAATTCCATGTCAAAGCGGTTTTAATAAAAAAAAATACGTTATTTATTGCTTGAGAACTTTGTTTATATTATCATATAGAACTCACATTATAACTGCTACAGAAAAAATATTGTCATTATCCTAAGCCCAGTTTCTTGTACCACGGTATAGGACTCTGAATATATACAAAACTTGTCCTGTTAATGAAAGAGGAAATTTTGTATCGAACTATACTAGTAACTAGTAACACTATTCTGCCAACATGATTTTTCATTACTTCCAAAAGGAACTCTTTTTCTCTACTCCAATAGTTGGCATACAACTCTCTTGACTCTGATATTTGATGTCGACCTCAACATTCAGCAAAGGACTCGTACTAAACATAAATAAAAATAGATGATAATTCATCAAGTGTATGGATTCATTTAGAAACACCCTGTACGTATACACTCACCTCAATAGTATCGAAAATTACAAAACAACAAACAAGGAGTTGAAATAGAAACCGGCCAAACTGATTCAACCCCACAGCTCGATTACTATGAATAACCTACTGAAATGCGTTTCTTCTAGTCTAGCACCAACACTATTTCTACTCCATATCAACGATTTGTTGGAAGCAACTTCATATCCAGTACACAGCTTCGCGGATGATAGTACCCTCCATACCGCCTTCCCTTCCAGGGCTCCAATACCAGCCAGGCAAATCAGAAACAAACGAGGGAAAAATTTTGACAACATATTATGGACTTGGCAACAATTCTCGAATGGGGATCCAACTTGGTAGATTTCAATGCAAACAAAACACAAGCATGCCTCTTCTCTAGAAAAGCCGAAATCACTGTGCCCAACATAAGCTTGTCAGGAGTAACCATACCTTCTAAGACATCCATTTCGATGCTTGGTATGACTATCAGCAATAACATTTCTTAGGAAAATCACGTGAGATCAATTGCTGAAAGTGCATCCCAAAATCTTGGTTTTCTGTTTCAGGCCAGGAGCTATTACACTTCCAGTCAGCTGATTATGATCTATAAGGCACAGATCCGACCTGTCCTGGAATGCTGTTCCCATATTTGGAGTGCAGCATCCAAACATACCCTGAAACTGTTGGATTCTGTCCAAAAAAGGGCAATTCTTCTCGTGGGTGATGCCTCGCTCACAAACTCACTCACTTCTCTGGAACACTGTAGAAAAGTTGGCGATCTGGCTCTATTTTATAGATATTTTCATGGACGATGCTCTTCTGAAATATTACCAATTGTTCCTCCCTTGGCAGTCCCCGCGAGATTAACTCGTCGAATTGAGGCTTCGCACTCCTACGTGGTCACTTTGGAGACCTGCAGAATATTACTTTCCAGAGACTCGTTCATTCAACGAACAGCGAGGCTCTGGAACACATTGCCAAGGGAGGTGTTCCCCGAGGCATATAACCTCCAGAAATTTATGAAGAACGCCAATTCCTACCTTATTTCCCTCAGTTCTCACGATGTTCACTGAATATTACAGGATATCCCTTTTCGTGGGAACCAGAACATTGAAAAAAAGTTCCATCACATTCACCAACGATAACGAATACACGATTATTCCCGAAAGAGATCGAGTCCTAAGTATCAAGAAAATGTTCATACCCAGACTCGAACTATTGTTGAAATTGAGAAAATTGTTAACAAATCTTGAATATAATTTGATGAAATAGCATTCAAATAATAATGTATCGACAATAACTATGTGAAGGTAAATGAGATTCAATATATTGAAATATATTGTTGATTTCACTTCCCACTTTTTTTTATTGTCATTCAGACGATTTCAAGACAATTTTGTCGATGTTCTTGATGAAAATACAGCAGGAGAAATTAGTGTATATTGGGTTTAGCAGCAGTGTAAAAGAAATTCTCTTTAAAGTTTATCCAAGCTTTCGGAAATGTTTATTCCCATCATCAGGAATACTACAATGATGAGTGAGTGTAAATACAATGGAAAACCAGGGCCATGCCTTGTACTTACATCTTTGGTGAGGTTGGTCACAACGTTGTTCGATATATAAAATTGTATAAGAAACCGTGACAAAAAATTGATAAGTAGACACATGGGAGACTAACATTTTTACATCTAAACTGAACTGTTACTTATTTTATTGTAAATTTGAAATTTTAAAATTGTTGGTTAAAGAAATGATTTCCGCAAGTCACATTGCTCACATTCTTCAAATTCTTCGGATTGTTAAGTTTAGGAATGTCTGTTTCTTCCTTTTCATGAAATAGGGGATTTTTGTGTGTCGATTGACAGGTGTGTTATTGTGGTTTATAACTATTGTAGTTTTCAGCTAATTTGTCATTTCAGAAAGCTTCGTTACTGTGCTATTTTAGAAAGGACTTCCAGTTGTTTCATTAGCAGAAGCTTGCAAATTGACAACTTATACAATTGACAACATTATCGGGAGTTGTAGTAGTTGAAGTATCATAAGAATGTTGATGAATTCATCGAAATCTTTTCAACCATAAATCCAGTTCCCAACAGTGTACATGGCGATCAATTTGCCTAAATTTTTTGCCATACAGGGTGTTTCTCAGAAGTGGCTCACCCCTATAACTTTTTTGTTTATACATATAAACGAATGAAATTCGGTGTGTAAGTATGATACACACATACAGTATGCATCATTTTACGTATTCAATTAATTTTTGTCACTTCCCGTTTGACCGGAAATAACCCATATTTTCTTATTTCGAATAGGACACCCGGTATATTTTCACTTATTTCGATAGAGAATAACATAGTTCGAACAATGACACCCTATTTGCCACTTTTTGACATTTACCATTCTGAAATTTTCCTCAAGTTTTACTTTTGATTTGTTTCACAGGTTAATTAAAATTTCAAAATATGGTAATTTTGATGTTCACTCAATTTCTTCGAAAAGAATCAGGGTGGCACTTAACCATATCGGAAAAAGGTATTTCGTTACGAACATGTTGACACCACATAATCGATATTTTGAATCAATATCCTGTATCCTAATCACTCTAGATGGAAAATTGAAAAATAGAAATTTCAGGAAAATAAATGTCAGGAAGTGGCAAATGGGGTGTCATTGTACTAACAATTTTATTCTCTATCGAAATAAGTAAAATATACCGAGTGTCCCATTTGATATAAAAAAATATGGGTCATTTCCAGTCAAACCGGAAGTCACCGAGAACAATTGAATACGTCAAATAATGCATATTTATGTACTCCACTCATACACCGAATTCCATTTGTTTATTTATAGAAACAAAAAAGTTATGAGGGTGAGCCACTTTTGAGAAACACCCGGTATAGTCGGTTTTTTTGCCTATGAGGTTATTTTCAGATGGTCGAATGGCTTCTAGAGCCGTAATGCGGGTATTCATCTTCCTGAATCGTAAATACTGGGTGTTTCGGAAATTGGGGCAATCCATGAAGATGATAGTAAGACTAATAAACAAAACGAAATGAAAGAATGAATTGTTGTCGAAGTAAAAATCATTTTGGAAGATATTGAGAGTCAAAATTTGCCTGGAACGTTTGTCAGTCATTAATCAGAGGTAAATAGTCCAACCCAAGCGTTTGCTTTTGGCAAGATCACAAGCACCGGAAGTATTGAGAACTTTTCTTGCCAGACGTTTAATAATAGTTCAGGTATGTAGTTTATGATGGCGGCGCACATTTTTTCAAAAGCTTTCCAGACAATTTTTTCTTGTGATTCATCATGTAATTATGTCTCATAGGACACCTAATGTTATTCATCGCATCAATTTTGAAAACCCCGTGAATAGTGAATATTTGTACTATACTCACCATATTATAAGAAAGGCATCTAGGTCTCTTCTTGCTCCTTGAACTTCTTGCTAGGCTACTCACACTTCTTCTGGTTGAATTTCGAATGACAGCCTTGAAAAATTCTTCGCAGCTCTTCAATGTGAAATCTTCGTCAGACAGTCTCACCACTCGGAAGACAAGGCCAATCACATTCTTGTACATTTTGAAAGGAATCTTTTCTTTGCCATCTCTAGCACCTCCCGCCCAAGAGCACAAGGTCATGAATTTTCGTGTGAATATTTTGTCTACCAATATGTAGCAATTGTTAATTCCATTGCCTGATTCATTTCTTCCACATACGTAACTGAACTTGAGTATGTTGTCTTCCATGTCTTTCTTATTGGCCAGTTTGGACTCGAATTTCTCTAACGCTGTCAAATTGTCGATTGGTTCGAAGAATATCTCGTCTCTTGCCGCTATCAATGTGTTTTGATAACCTGCATACGTGCGATTGTTTATAACTGAATGGCTAGCCATCATATCCAGGGTTGTTTGTAATGTAACAAGTTGCTGAATAATTTCTTGTTGGTTTCCTTGACAAGTTGATGAATGATTGAAGTTATCCAAGGATTTTCTCTGATTTTTCATAATTATTTCTTGATTGGCTAATAATTTCTCCAATTTTCCATTGATTTGGGGATCTAATAACGAACTGATGGTATCAACATTAGGTGTGATCTCAGATTCTCCAGTTTCCTCCTCTGCAGAGCGCATCTGGAGAATGAGACAACATAATCAATCAACTATATGAATTATTCACCCACCCTGGTATAAGTTCAACTTACCATGCATTCATCAGTCGAATTATCAGAGATGTTTTGGCTAAATTTGGACTTTGGCAACGTGACTCTGGACTCCTTTTTTGACTGAATCTGTTTCGCTACAATTCCTTCTTTTTCTGTATCGTCATTTTCTAGCATTCTTTGTAGTCCCTCTTTGGCAATTTTGTCTGAATCTATAACGAAACAGAATGAGAAGAAAAGTTGTCTACGAAATGCTTCTAGTAAATTCGTTTCGAAATGGCAATATTCAGGATGTTATAGTGTGAATATGCAAAAAAGTATACTTTCCGATTAGCCGAACCTGAAAGCGAATTTTGTTGATTCAATAACACGACAAGGTGTTGTATCGATCACATAACAATTTGAATGAATATTCGTTGATCATAATCTGGATTTTTTCAGACTAGTTTTATATTCGCTCTGGAGTTAGATACAAGTTTATAGAACATAAAATGGTTAGCCATGACCTTAAAATATTCAGAAGAATGAGTTGAGCTGAAAACCAGATATTTCGGTTATGAAACTATTGCATATTAATTGCATATTCAGGACCACCTCGGCTTCGTCCATGTACTATTGATGTATTCCATTGGAACACTCTGTATAGACGTGGCGAAATAAACGTTACACCATAAGAACATTGTATTGATTCGTCTACAAAATATCCAGAATGCTCAAAGTGGAATGAAATGTCAATATTGTAGTGAAAGCTCAATGTCATTCCAACAACTGTTCAATAAATTTGACATCAATAGGTCGCGTGCACGATGACCGACCCTGAAGGTAAAACATCGAAACACAACCTCACTCTCCTGTATAACATTGGAATACAACCTCACTTTTCCTATTTGTTTGCTAAGAAATCAAAGGATTGAAATAGTTTTTCACAATATTTTGGCATACGAATCGTGTTTCTTGGGCTATTCATTAATTCAAGCATGCCATCACATTTTGCTGTTGTAGAATGCACAAAAAATGCAGCGAGAGACGAAAGAATATGATTTTTCAGTTAAATACTGATCTCAAATAGTTTTCATCATGAAATTGTGTCATTTCCCAGTAGAATTCCTTGTGCCACTTCTGCAATAGGAGCGTCGGTAAAATATCTACAACACATACGATCATATTTCCTCAGCATGTCAGACCAGTCCTCCTGTTTGATTGCATGAGTCCAATCTTCTATTCTTCAAGAAACTCTACGAGTATTTCTATTAGCTCCTATTGTAGAAATGATTCCAATGAGATATGACAAAATTTCAAAATGAAAAGTATATGTGAGAGAAATATAGTGCTCTCAAGTCATATAATGTTCTAAAAATTGTTGTTGTTCGGATTACTTCGTCTCTCGCTGCATTTGTTTGTGTATTACACAACAGCACGATGTGGAGGCATTCTCGAATTAATGAAAAGCAGAGGAACACGATTCGTATGCCAAATTGATTGTGAAAAACTATTTCAATATTTTGTAAACATATAAGAAAAGTGAGGTTGTGTGTCAATGTTTTGCCTCCAGGGTCGGTCATCTGACAGTTCTTGCGCGCAACCCATGATGATTTTTTGGAACAGGTTAGGTTAGGTTAGGTTAGATTCGGTTAGGTTATGATGAATTTCGTTGTGTCAGGTTTCGCATAGATAGTAGATGACAAGAACTTATTGGCTTGGTGGCTACCCTACTCGAAACTTATCTCTAGGTGTCAAACATCCAAAGAAAATAGCACTCTCAAGAGTATTCGTTAATACGAATGGCTGCATAGATTTCGGGAGAATTCAGTTCAATGTTTGCGTGGCATTATAGTCTCCGTCATGAAAGTAGATGTTTACTCCATTCCCCTACGATAGGCCTGTTTCAATAAAAAAAATATTTCTCTTCTCAGAGCTCTGTACCTACATGTCTCATTTCATAACATAAAAAACGCGAATTACTTGTGACTTCATATATCGCGATCAATCCATGGCAATTCTATACGATATGACTTATGAATTCTGTTTATTTCAGTTTTTTCAAATATTTTGAGTAGAGGAAATTCCTATAATGCTCCCTATAGGGAGGATAGGGAGAGAAGGTAGGTGTTATAAGTTCTTGGGAATACTTCCATTGGCAAAGAATTGCCGGTCTACATACACACGAGTGTCTGTAACACATACTCTCGATACATGCAATGACTAGAATAAGTTTTGTTGTTCATGTACACTAACTTGAGGACATGATTTCGATTTATTGTATCATTACGTATAATTATGAATATTTCATTCCACTATAAGTATTTTGGGTATTTTATAGCTCTTCAGAGTATACAGGGTGTCCTGAAATTAGCCTGCCAAACTGCACCAGCGGCTTTTACGTTCAAAAATAGTCGAGAAATGTCTCCCCAGGGAGCTACGGCCCCCTGAAGAGGGGGCTCTTGAAGATTATATATCTTGAGTATTTCCGAAACTCCATGTGACAAAAATATGCAATTTGGCAAGAACTATAAACTTTCCATACCCAATGCAGTGAAAATGACATCATTCCTACATTTCAGTCAGGAGTGTATTATACAGGGTGGGACTACATAAAATATTTCTCGAATTTATTTGTAAGCATATTTTTCGACAATTTCATCTCGGATTATGAAAATCCACACCTCTTCACAGAAAAAAGGTTTTTCTGTTCCGTGACGATCAGATCTATCATTATCGAGTAACAGCGATTTAAAAATATTGTTACATCTCCGATATTATGTATAACATCGCAATGAGTTGTAGTGTGAATTGAAAAAAAAAGCACAAAAATAGAAGTAGTTTCTCATCATCATTTTCTTATTTTTCGCGCTTTTATGAGATTGTTTGGTCGAAAGAGAAAAGTTGATTTCTTTATATCCACTATGATTTGAATAATGGCAAAGTAATGCATACTTTTTTTTATGCACGACCGGGCGTAAAACCGCCCGGGTTCGCGGGCGTAAAGTGGCACTTTACCGCCCGGCGGGCGATAAAGTCATTGAGCTGGTGGTAAAGCTAATGTCACTGTCATATCGATAGAAATCTAGATTCCAATGATTTCAATTAATGCTCCACGAATACCAAAAATCAGTGATACCTACAACAAAGTTTCAAATTATCATACTTGACATTAAGAAAGCATGAAAATAGTACTTACTTTCATCATAAGGTACGAATCGACTGGTGTTTCACTCAAGAATAACTCTATTTCTTTTCTGCTTAGAATCTTCGATTTCTTTGGTTTATAACCGTCAGATTTTCTTTTCAAAAAAGCTATCAATCTTGCATATTTACTGATATCTCTATTATCATGTACATTTGAAGTAGCTTTCAACATGGAATAATATGACCACATGGAAGATGGCTTACGAGATTTTGAATTTTCCAGAAAATAGGCAAGAAGCACACTTTCAGTGTAGTTCTCATTTTTTACATCATTTCTGTCGCACCAGCTTACGAATTCTCCGTATACTTTGTCGTATATTTTTTTTGATTTACTTGGCAATAAACTCGATTTTGCTTCCTCAGCTGCCTCACTAATTTCTGGTGAAGTACAATTCACACTTTCTTCATCACTAATGTTATGCTGATATAGTGATACCAAGCATCGAAATGGATGTCTTCAAAGGTATGGTTACTTCTGACAGGCTTATGTTGGGCACAGTGAGATCGACTTTCTCAGAGAAAAGGCATGCTCATGTTTCGTTTGCATTGAAATCTCCCAAGTTATTGGATCCTCATTCTAGAATTGTTGCCAAGTCCATATTTATGTGAGTTTATCAACATTTTCGAATCGGATTCCCTCGAAAATGATACATCTGATCGATTCGGAACAAAAGTATATTTTTTTTGTGAAACTATTCGGATTTTCATAATCCCAGTTCGAATTGTCGAAAAATATGCATCCAAAAAAGTTTGAGCAATATTTAATGTAATCCCACCCTGTATTATACACTCCTGAATAAAACTTCGGAATAATTTTATGTTCATCGTATTGGGCATGGAAAGTTCAGTTCGTGTACCAAATTGCATTTTATCATTTTATCACGTGATGTTTCGGAAATATTCAAGAAATATCATCTCCAGGAGCCTTTCTCGACTCATGCTTATTGAAATTTGTCTTCCTATTTTTGATCGAAGAAGCCGTTGGTGAAGTTTGCCAGGGTGACACCCTGTATAGGTGAAATGTTCCTTATTACACTGAGTTAGTTTCGGAAGAACGTTTCAAAAATACAAAATGGTTTACTAGGTTCATGACTCATTGGTATTTGAGAATTGAAAATTAGTAATCAGCGTATTCCGGTTTTATTCCATAATAATTTATCAATCAATTTGGTGTTTGTTCTTCGTGTGTGATCTCAAAGCACTTCTATACCTGAATTTCGACAGACAGAGATCACATTGGAGCTGGGGTTCGATCCCACAGCCGTACCTGAGATGGCGTTTCAAATCGGTTCTGTGCACGTAAGACTTGATGCAATTTGGGCACCTGAATCGGCCATTCTCGTCTAGCCTGAAATCTGTCAGAACATGCATGAAGAAACTGAACTCATTCAAAATGACACACAAATCTAGAAATACAACACACAAAATAAAGCTCAATCGAAATTTCACAGAAAAGATACAGCACCGGTTCAACGAAAGAACATACATGTTCGACATATTTCGAGGTTGTCAAAGGAAAGATGTGCTGACTAGGCCTGTCGAGTTTGTCTGACTGGTATTGCCGTGGAAGTATCTATGGAACAGTGACACGTCGCCGACATTTCTACGGTGTTCTGATGAGGTCAAAAGATTAGTGAGTGTGATGGCATAAGACAATATCATTCCAGCAAACATGACATAGCTGACGATTCATACTAGTACTATTTTTCGGTAATAAAAATGTACATGTACATTGCTGTTTCAATCATATAATTTATATTATATAATACGTATGTTGCGTATGTTAAATTTTCATTGTGCTGATACAATAGTATATTTCAAGATATTTCTGCGACATTGATGAATCAATGGATATACTTAATATATTTTACAAAGAATAGTACTGGTTGAACGATGAATGAAGGATTAGGCTCCTCAATGTCATAAAATCATCAATGAATTTACAATGAACAACGAATTCAGTTGTATAAAGTGATGATATTCTTGTCCGAGACATCCATCATGATAATATTATACCATAAAGTATTG